TAATTCTGTCCTGGTCTATCCGCGGAGATCTATTTTAGAATTTTCAGCTGCAACATCCGTAATTATAAACATCGCTAGAACGATTAAAAAAAAAAAAATTATGCTATAATGTTTTAAGAACTAAAGACTCGTTTATTTATTTAAATTTGTTAATCTCATCCATGTCTTGCCAAAATTTAAAATTTATTTGGATTTTAACTACTAGTGTGATGGTTTTTTTTAAAATTATTTTTTTTTGTAAATTAAAAGGACATGTACTACATATAGATTAAATTTTAAAGCAAAGTATAGTAAAATTCAACTTTCGTAAGAAATCCCCTTAGATCCTCAAAATCCTCCTTCCCTTTTTAAAAAGTTCGAGCTAGTTATAAATTATCCTAATTACATGTCTTTCTGAATTAACTATTAATCTTTATCATAATTTTTTTTAAAAATTCCAATGCGTTTTTAAAAAAAGGAGAGAGAGGTTTGAATTTTGACGAGTTTAGTATACAGAGTGTTAAATAATAGTTACCTTTAAATGTCAATTATTAATTTATGTGAAAGGACATAGTTTCAAATTGTTCGGAAGAGCTGTTTTGCTTAGTGCCAGGAAGTAAGATGTTGCAATGAAAGATGTTTCCTGTAAATGTTGCTATTATGTAGTGGAAATTCTTATCTTAAATCAATACCAAGGAATATTGTGATATTAAAATGTTACCTTTGAGAAAAGTATGGCTTAATACTCTATTAGCCCCAATCACTTCATATACACGATATATAATGAATGTTGCTTAACCCATCTTCTTCATACACATAATGCATGAATGATAATGTTGCTAGGTTTCTCTTCCTCATATACATCATAATAAATGGTAAAGTTGCTAGAGCATTTTTCTTCATATACACAATGAATGGTGAAGTTGCTGGGCTGGACTTCTTCATTGCTCGATGAATGGTAAAATTGCTGGGACACTCTTCTTCATATGCGTGATGAAGGGTGAAATTGAGAGCCACTCTTCTTCACATAAAAAACAAATGGTAAAATTGCTGGGCCACTCTTCATATAAATAATGATTGGTAAAATTGCTGGGCCACTCTTCATCTAAAAAATGAATAGTAAAATTGCTGGGCCACTCTTCTTCATATACATAAGGGATAGTAAAATTGCCGGAGTATTCTTCTTTGTATACATAATAAATGGTAAAGTTGCTATGCCACTCTTCTTCATTTATATGATTAGAATAGTAAAATTGTTAGGTCATATTCACGAATCACTTCTTCATATTCACGATGGTCAACTTGTTAGGCCACTCTATGGTTTGGATAATTTCTGAGATTTTTTTGAATCAGCAAAGTTATTATCTAGGTCAATCTTAGTGAAGATGAATTTAAAAGCATCAGAACCAGTTTATTTGCTGGATGAAACAAAAAATTAGAACGTCTTTCTTTTTCCCGTATATCAGTGACAAATATTCAATAAATAATTGTCCCGCAGTGGACTGATCGTTAAGACACGGTTCCCAGCAGATCACCGAAGTCAAGCATCACTGACTGCGGACAGTGTGCGGGTGGGTGACCACTTGGATCAGTGTGCGTAGGGACCGAGGGTGTGCGGTATTGGTCATCGTTAAACTGTGCTACCGTAAAGTGCTCGACTTCGCTTGCAGGTAGTCGAATTACCGAAGCGGGGGTGCCATCCTCTCTGCAGAGGATCAAAATTGTGATGGCATGTCTTCGGATCATCCTCAGGGATGCTTCTCAGACCGTCGCCAATAGCCCATTGTGCAGCTCTAGTGCGACGTAAATGAACTACAAACAATAAATAATTAATCAGTAGCAGTCATAAATAATTAATAGTATCAACCAATATCTTCTTATTAAAACTTTAATAAGGGATCAAATCTATAAATATCTAGAATTAAAATGTCATCCTATTGAAATTAATTTTTGTGATTAATGGACAATTAATTCGAAATAATCATCAGATCATAAATAAGCTAATGAAAAGATATCATCTAACTAACCTCTGAACGTTATTTTTTCTCTCGCGTTTTACTTGGTAGCAAACGTGTTCAGATTTTACAACGTAAAAGTTAGTAAACAGATAAGCAGTGTTGTCATGTTAACTAAAAACTGAAACAATTTTTACAACCAAAGCTGATCTAACAGGATCCACCATAAGGGTGTATTACTTAATTGAATCAGCAGAATTGTTGCATATAATGATGCAAAATTTAATGATGTATAATCTTTCACCTTGTTTATATATTTATAAAATATTTGTTATTAGATCCTTCAAAAGTATCAACAAAACCAGAATCTCAATTATTGTTTTATTCATATTTTTTTAAAGTAATAATTAGAATTAGTTTGAAAAGAAATTATTTTTAGACTGTTACTTTACTATAGTAGTAATTACTTCCACTATATTTTTAACTCTAAAAATAATCGCATCTAATTCATCATTACTTATTCAAACGCGGTTCAGAATTACCTGAATGACTTATTTGGATAAATTAAATCAGGAGTGAAAGTTACGTGGTTATTTTCTCAACCGCTAACACTAATTTCTGTTCATTAAAATTCACCTTACCGTGTTTTATTCTCTAACAAGGACAGAGAATATAAATTTGTTATTTATTTGTAAATGGAATGTGAGATTTGTTCTACCTGCCCTTATTCTTGTCAGAATTATTTTTATCATCTTTCGAAAGTTTTGGCTAAAAGGGAGAGTAGAATATCAAAGGAACGGCGTTGTGCGTTTTCTTAATTACAAAGGAGAGACAAAATAAAAAATAATGAAAGGTCTTTCGGTTGTCTTAAGGAAAATGCGCCTCAACATTTCATCTTATTTCTCTTTTCTTACGAAGAAATATGAAACTTAGGTTCGTTTAAAGATATTCCAAGTAAACTTTCTTTCATTTTGGTGCCCCTTTATTGTTAATTTAAATTTCGCAAATGGGGCTGTTCAGATATTACGTAAGCACCCCAAGGGACAGAGAGGTGGTTTGTGATTTGCTTATTTTTGTTGACAAGTGGAAGGAGTAGTAAAGCTTACATACAACTCTTAAAAGTTCCCTTATTTTCCAATTGAAAAAAAAAAGTTTAAATTTTGAAAAAAAAATTACTCTTGGAAAAATTTGAAATGAAAGTTAAATTATAGGAAAGGTTTAAAAAAATATATATATAGAAAGAGTTGCAGAGATTATGGTGTTTGGATTTAAAAGTTTGGGATTTGCTTACTTTTGCTGACAAGTGGGGGGGGGATATGAGAAGCGCTTTCGTAAATCTCTAAACTCCTACTATTTTTCAATATTTTTTTAAATGCAATAAAAGTAGCACGAAAAAGTTAAATTTGGATTAAGAAAAATTGGTGGAAAATTTTTTTCATCAATGGGTTTCATAAGTCAAATGTTTTAACTACAAAAGGAAAACACGATTCCCAAAAAATAATGCTCTCAAAATTTCATAAAATTAATTAAAGCGTAAATTTTGAATTTATGTAAAGTTACATCTTAGATTTCAATTCAATCCTAAAATTGCAATAAAAGTTACGGCAAATCAAGCGGTTGGGTGTTATGTCTTTTTTTACGTATGGAAGGGAAGGGTTTACTGATTTATTATTATTATTATTGTTAAAAAAGGGGATGATATACAAAATTACCAATAAACATGCTTACGTAATATTTTAACGGCCCCTATTGGATAAGGTGGAATGATTCTTCGAATTGAAGATTCAAAAATGTTATTTTAATATGTCTTGCTTTCATGTAGATAGCTTTTATTACTTATTAGTCTTAAAATTGTGTGCCACATTCTCGATGTTTGTTTAAAAGTAAGATTTTAAGACTAGAATGATTTAATACTTTATTTACTTGAGTTGAGGTGTTGTTAATATTTATATTTCGGCTGCTAATTAAGAGAGTAATTATAATTGTAACTGTGAATTGGTTTGGTTGAGCGTGCCAGTTCCTGTTACTTTTAAAATCGTTATTTTTCACAATGAATCGAAATTTTATTTATGAACAATTTGCAATTTAACCTTCAGGTTAAATGCTGTAAATTGAAGCCATTTAATGTCATTTTACCATATAAGTAAATATTTATTCTTCAATGAAAATTTATTGCATAATAAGACTTTACGCACCCACAAGAATTTAAAAAGAGGTATTTCCGTGAAAAGATTTTACGATAAAGTTCTTTTTGAATCGAATTGAATGTTTGTGGATTTTTCTTCTTCTTTTTACAAGTATTTTTGGGTATGTTTTCAATTTTTTTTCTGAATTAGCTTCGACATGCAATTGGTCTTAAAGCTTATGAGGTTTTGTTATGAGGTTTCTAATACATGTTTTGTGTATTTATTTGAAATAATATTAATCGAATGACATAAAAGAACAAAAATACTGATCGGAAAAACCTGACTTCTCAAATTTTGGTTAGTTTGGATTTAAACATTTCCCAGAAATCATATTTATCTTTTAAATTTCGTTTCCACTGTCGATCATGTCTTGTGATAAATGCGTTGTAATTTTTACTGTAAAATTGAATGAATCTTAAGTTTTTTGTAATTAAAATGAATTATTTTAAAAACGAGATTTAATTTACTTTAGTTTTTAATCAAATTCACAGCATTCACTTATAAAAGGAAAAAAAAAATTGCTTTTGGTGAAATCTTTTACAAGTGATTGCATGTTGATTCCATTTTAATTAGACTTTTGAAAAACAAAATTTATATGTTTCTCGACGCGTAAGTAATTTCATATTTTAATGTGCATTGAAAAGTTAAGTTTTTCATTATTAATTTCAATGTTTAATTTATAAATACCTGCAAGGACCTCTATTTATTAATCTGTACTTCAAAAAATAATTGGAAAACTTACTTTAACGTAAAAAGAATCAGGAAAAAAGAGAAAGAAATTGCAGCAAAACTAAAATAAGCTCAGTTTTTAAAGGGTGCGAAAGGCAAAGTACAGATCTGTCAAAACAGGCCTATGAGTAATGTATGGTTGTTTTTTCAGCACTGCATCTCCACTCCGAGTGGGAGGAGGTGAGGGAGGGGGCAATGCAAAGAAAGCGACAGCTGGAAGGGATGCTGGCCGACGGACGCAGCTTTGACGAACGAAGGAGGGATGTGGAGTCCTGGCTCTCCAGGCTGCAAGCCCGACTCGAGCGCATGCCCCCCGTTGGTCAAACTTTAGACATTCTTGAAAATCAATTGAAGGAACAGAAGGTATATTAATTTTAATATTTTCTCTTTCTTTCAAACCAGGAAAAAATATTAACTTGGTTATCATTTTATACAGTGATATTTCAGGTTTATTGTTAATTATTATTTTGTTGGAAGAACAGAAATATTTTGTTCGAGTTTGATTTTTTAAAATATCTTTTTATGGATTGTAACTATTTCCAGTTAGCAAAATCAGTTCTTCATTTTGCTAACTGGAAATTTTTTTTTGCACTAAAGATGCTTTTTTATTATTTTATATCGCATTTCTCCATTTCTTTTAAATTAATTATGTGCACATTTTTGTTAATGCTGTGTTAATTCTAAGGCACGTCTACTAATATTCTATCCTTTGCTAAAAAATCTAACTTAATTTTAGTATCTTCCCTTCTTTCTTTTTCTTCTTTATTTTGTCTCTTAGTTTGCGCTCATTTTATGTAGAAAATATTTTTTCTTAGTAAAAGGATTTTATGTTTTTTGTTTTTCCACAAGATTTTGTTTTTTAATAAAATTGTTTACATTTCATTAATTTCTGACGATTTTTTTTATAAGATTTATTCTTGAATGAGAAACAAGTTCTGTAAATAAATCTTTTATACTTTTTAGCATAAATTTTGATATAAAAAACTATTTGTATGTTTTTTTTAATTTTTTATCTGAAATAACTTTTATGTGATAATTTGCTTTTTTCTATTCATCGATTTTTGACTTAAGGTTTTTTTTTAGTCTATAAAGTACTAATCTACAAATACTTTTTTTCTTTCTTAAAAGATCCTATTAAAAATAAATATCATAACAAAATATCCAATTTGTTATATAATCAGTTTATTTTTATGGAGTTATTTCTCGTACATGCATTTTGTTTGTTTGCAGTTGAACTTTTTTCTTTTTGTGATTCAAACTTAAGCTGGCAACATGTATTTTATTTAATTTCTGATACCCAGTGAGAGTTTGTAAGTTAAAACTATTATTAGAGCTCTTATAAACAAATTTTATTTATTTATTTTTAATTTATTGTGTTCAAGAAACATTCTTGTATATAATATTTGTTGGAGTATGAACTATGCATGCTTAGATCCTCAGAAACAGCTTTTGGGTTTTTATATTTTTTAGCTATCTTTTTTAAACAATGGTATTGGAACATGAAATGAATCTGACAATATTTTTTTTTAATCTCTAGTTATGCATCATAAGACCTAATGGATATTTTGTGATTTCATGCTATCTTTTTTAAACAATGTTGTGGGAGCATGAATGGAATCTAAATTTCTTTTTTTTTAATCTCTAGTTATTCCTCATAAAACCTAATGGAGATTTTGTGGTTTTATGCTATCTTTTGTAAACAATGGTGTAGGAGCATAAAAAGAATCTTAACAATATCTTTTGTATCTCTAGTTATTCATCATAAGACCTAATAGAGATTTCGTGATTTTATGCTATCTTTTGTAAACAATGGTGTAGGAGCATAAAAAGAATTCTAAACTATTTTTTTTTAAATCTTTAGTTATTCATCATGACCTAATGAAGATTTTGTTATTTTATGCTATCTTTTGTAAACATGAAAAGAATTTGACAATGTTTTTTATTTTTTTATCTCTAGTTATTCATCATAAGACCTAATAGAGATTTTGTGATTTTAAGCTATCTTTTGTAAACAATGGTGCAGGAGCTTAAAAAGAATCTAAAACTATATTTTTTTTAATCTCTAGTTTTTCATCATGACCTAATGAAGAATTAGTTATTTTATGCTATCTTTTGTAAACATGAAAGGAATTTGACAATGTTTTTTATTTTTTTTTTTATCTCTAGTTATTCATCATAAGACCTAATAGAGATTTTGTAATTTTAAGCTAACTTTAGTAAAAAAAAAAAAAAATTTTTTTTATCTCTAGTTATTTATCACTAGATCTAATGCCAGTTATGAGTTTGATGTTTACAATAATGTATCAGCATTTAAAAATGGTCAGTGTTTCAACACTTGGCTAAGCTCCAATTTTCAGATTTTCTGTTAGTGTGAGTCTTCTTGACTTATTGTATTATTTTAACTAAATTCTTAATCAAGTAAGGCTGGCATTCCAAGGTTAAATTACGCCTAACTTAAAATGTCATCCTACATGTATCTATCTCATGCTTTAAGTAACAATTTTTATTTTATTTTATCGTCTAGGCTTTGCAAGCTGAAGTAGGCCAATGGAAAGGAGCTGTTGAAGGTGTAACAAGAACAGCGCATAAAATTGCTGCTGATTGTCCACATGATGATGCTAACAGACTTAGAGCAATTGCTGATAGGATTAATCAACGATACACTGAACTTGCTATCAGGTGTGTGGATATGTTTTTTTTTTAAAATTTGTAGCTGTGCATCATTCACAGCTGATTGAAACTATTTACTCAATAAGTCTTGAATTGGTCTCAGGTCATGATTTCATTTTAAAAATCAGTAGCTAAGTTTGCTAATGCTAAAAAATACTTCATGCAAAATCAGGGTTCATACAAGTATTTTTTAAAATGGCATCGCAATACGTTTCGTGATTCAGACAATTCAACTTAACCATTGCAATGAGACTTATTGCAATTAAACGATCATTGAATAGTTAATATAAAATATTTATACTCGTATAAAGGTAAAATTTAAATACCGTAATGCGCGATTCCGAATACGTTAGTAATAATAATATCAGGTTTAAAGTATCGATATTTTTAAAACGATGTGGATATTACGTAGGCGGGAAGTAAGACAACTAACTGTAACAACTGCCGAGAAAACGATTAGAAAATGACGTTGATTTACGACGGTAATCAAAAAGTGACTACCGAATTCGAACATCGATGTCGCAATATCGTATTAATTATACCGAAGTTTCAAAAATCATGTGGAAATCAGCGAAAAAACGATAAATAACTCTCGAAAAAATGATCAGAAAACGATGAGAATTTGCAATGGAATCTTCTTTAACTCAGAGTGTCAAGTAGTGATAACCCTAATTCAAAATTCGCGTGTCGTAATAACATTGAATTAAAAATATCGTCATTGAAAAATTACGTGGAGAAAAAAAAAAAATAAATCGGAAAAACGATCGAAAATCTAGATTATTAGAAGTTGCGAGCAATTTTTGCTACTGCGTTTTTCTGTAACTAGGGTTCAATTTTCTTTAACTAGCAGTTTGCTACTTGCTAGTCGACGAAATCGCTCCCTAATTGAACTTTTAAGACTTTTCGAACACTTTTTCTCATGTTTCTGATAGAAGTATTAGAAAGTTTTAATTAAAATTGTAAAAATGGCAAGAGCAAGCTTTCGAATACAGTGTTTTTGTTATTACTTTGATTAAAATTTTGGCTTATTTCTTCCTAATAACTAAAAAAGGATAATTCACATTATTAATGAATGAAAAAATAACAAACTAATGATTATTAAATTGCTTTTGTTGATTGGAATCCGCATGCGTTTTGTTTCATTATGTGTTCTGTTTTGTTTCTACAGTGTGCAGTCCCGGGGAAAAGCTCTGCTAAATGCCCTCAACTCTTTGCAGCAGTTAGACAAGGCTCTGGATAGGTTCCTTGCTTGGCTTTCAGAGACAGAGTCTGCTCTCGAACTGCTGGAAGCAGAAGAGGAGAAGTATGGGCCCAGGGATGACTTTCATAGGTCTCATGGCTGTCACGATCAAATAAGAGTAAGTGGAAGCATCATTTTTCATAATAGTGTAGGATTCTCTTCACCTTCTCTTGTTCATCATTCTTTAACCTCAATCTGTTGAACATCTGTTCAATTTGCAACATTAACTAAAGGTGAGCTTATTTTTCAATACAATTAACATGATGTTGAATCGGTAAAATTCCAATTACCCCCCCCCCTTTTTTTTAAATTTTGTTTTATAACCGTCGTTGAACAGCTGACCTAATTTTTTTGGGTTTACGACTACTAATGTTCAACTCCGTAGCCTTGTAATTTTGAGCCCAATCCAGAAGACAAGGGAACTCCTGGATCAAGTATTCTGAGAAATTTGCCTTCGTGGAGGACTTTTTGATGGAATTTACCCCCATTTACTTTACATGGAAAGGAAGACTACGAAAACCTCCCACGTTTAGCCTGACGGCAAGGGGACTCTAACCCTTGATCCGTCTACCACTGAGGATATTTCACGTCAGCACTGTGGTCGGTGCAAGCCGGATGCGGAATTCGTATCGACCAGCCATCGCCGGGATCGAACCCCGGTTCACCTCATTGGATGGTGAACGCTCTATACCCTGAGCTATCGCGGCTCTCACTTTATTTGTTGCTAAAAAAAAATCTAACTGCACAGACGTGACTGGTCCCAGGTCCGGAAAAAAAGAAAGGCACCCTTAAGGGCCAACATCAAAATATATAGGTGGAAGAAGAAAAAAACGGTAATCAAGGACACAAAAATAAATTAATTTAAAAAAAAAAATCTATTTCGTATCCATGACGAGGCATTTCATGATAAATATTTTTTTCTATTGTCTGAATTATTATTATTATTATTATTATTATTATTTTTTTTTTTGAAATATAAATTGGAACGAGGGAGAGTAGAAAGAATTAATAAAATTACGGTGTTCAATTAATTCACCCTGATTTCAATTAATTCACCCTGAGCAGGGAAAGCGCAGCATTGTTTACAAATGGCAAATTATAAATACATTTTAGTTGCATTAGGAAATATTATAAAAGATAGGTAATAAAAGCAATTTTTAATACGTTTTTAAAGTTGAGACGTATTTTCTTATGCATTTTCAGGCACGAACTTTTAGCAAGAGTTTTGTAAAGTTAGTTTTTGTTTTACAGATAAACCTTTTTGAGATAGTTAAACAATTTATTAAAATTCTTATATAGCTGCCTTGAGAGAAATAACTATCAAAAGTATAAATAAGAAACATGAGAGCACGGAAAGAAAAAAATGGGCCACCCTGAATAACTTTTGATCAAATGATAGATTCTTCACGTTTTAAGAATCAATTTTAATCGTTCAAGGGGTGATCTCAAATGCGCTAATTAATTAGTGCTAACATTTTTTCGAGTTACGAAAGCAGATACGGAAACGTACTTTCTCTAAATAAACATAACCTCTTTTCAACCCACAATAGCGCGCAATCTGGGAAATGGGTCCGAATTTGGTCAGGAGAGCGGTCCAAAGTTTAAACCCTTTGATGTTAAAGTTCGATTTTTCAGGAACTATTCGCCTGATTTTGCGTGAATTTTGTATTTTGCCATGCAAAATTACATTCTTTAAAAGAATATTTTTTATTTCCAATGAGCTGCACAATCTGTCTTGCCGATGAGCAGACCTAGTGCGTTCTCCAGAGGTTGTATCCACTCTTTCAGGACCACCACAATGGGTGAGATACCGTTGGTCATGTTAATTTGGACGTCTAGTTTCTGCCACACTAGATGGCAGCACCGAGACTCTATTTAGATGCTAAAGTGCACTAGGAATTTAATTTTGCCGGAAATGCCAAGAGCCAATAAGGCACTCCAGGGATCTTTTACATGCCGCATAATCATACGACCGCTGATGGATTTCTGCATCCCGAAAATCCGGTGTCTGGGCCGGGGATCGAACCCGCAGACTTGGGCTCAGAAGGCCGACGACAAACCAACTGCGCCACCCTGTCACCTTTAAATCTATATAAAAGTTGTATACGTAATAATTCAAAAAAAATTGTCGAGTATTGGTAAATAAATTATCTTTGGATAAACGAATATTATAACTGTGTGCAAAAATTTTTATATGGCGAAATACGAAAAAAAAATATAAGTAAAATAAAATTAAGGAGTCCAAACTTTGGACAGCTCTCCTGACCAAATTATTCGTGCCATTTTTCCCAGAATGCTGCATTATTATGTGAGTCAGGGATTCGAATCTGTCGAAAAAAAGGTATGTTTAATTGGGGAAAAAGTACGTTTTTGTTTCTGATTTATAGCATTACCGCATTCACTAATAAATTAAGCAACATATTTGAGGTCATTCCCTTGAATCATTGAATCCTAGAGCATAAAGATTCGATCATTAGGTTAAAAGCTATTCAGAGTGGTTCGATTTTTTTCTCACTGTACACCAATTAAAAAAAAAAAGAAAACTACTAAAAAATATGCTGTGAGGACATAAAAAATGAATTCCATTGGAAAGTTCGAAACGGGAAGTATGAATTTTTATTGATATACCCCTTTTCTAAATTCGCGAAATTGTCGTTCTTTAAGCCATGAAAATGTTTCGATATTTTCCTTTTTTTCGCAAATCTAACGGAAAAATATAAAACGTTGAATGGTTGCATTATGTTAGTTAAGTACTTAATTATAAAACTTAATGATATTTTATAAAGCTATTTAATGCAAAAAATTGTCCGCTACTTGGTAAATACGTTTTTAAAAATTATCTAATTGATTATCTAATTCATTTTGAATATTTAATTTCACAAAATATTTGGGTTTACTGATTGAGCGAGGAATAACAAAAGCTCTCTCTTTTGATGAGGTAATAGACACAGCAATTGCATGAAATTTTATTTTAAAATAAATTCATTTTCGTTATGAAGCACAATAGTTATTTTAACAGTTTAATGTTTTTTTAAATTTGACAGGCATTAGAAAAATGCAAAATATTATAGAAAATGTATTTTGATAGTTTGTTTTCCTTTTTTTTTTTTTTAAAGAAAAATTGTATACTTGATTCTTTGTAAGAATCATTAATAGAAAGTTTTAAAAGAAAAAAAATTAATAATCGTGAAAAAAATTTTTTTTTTGAAAATTTAACAGTTATTTTCTATTTAGTTGTGATAAATAAAGGGTCTTATGCAACTTTTTTAAATGCTTTTTTAAGCTTTATCGATGTAAATTTGTTAATTTGAGTATATTTTTATGAGTGAATTTCGTTGGAGTACATTTTATATGCGAATGTAGAGCCGCCTTGGTTTTGAATTTGGTCTGTTAAATAGTTTTCAAAAATTGTGGTTGTAAAACTTAATTCGTTTTTCATTGTAATCTTTTTTTTGCGGAAGTCAGTCCAAAATGTCTTTATGCAACTTAGCGTTTACTAACTTCGTTAATAGCTTACAACCTGAAATGTTCACACGGATTGTACTCTACAACCTGATTTATGTTTCTACCGACCAGGTTTTTGATTAACCAATTGTTTGTTTTGTAACGGCGAAAAATAAAATATTAGGAAGATATCGCAAATTTACGTTAGCTTTCGTACTCTTTCGTACACTAGAAGTGCGCATGCGTCAATTCTGGTGAAAATTATCAAACTTACAACAGTGAAAATGAGAGATTTTGAGTTAGAAATCTGTAAGTTAGAAACGCTAACATAGTGTAATATCATTTTAACTTTGACCTCAAAATCAAAATTAACAATGGACGTAGACTATCTCTTTAAAGCTGTGGCATGTGATTCAAGAAGCTTTGCTCCACGAAAACATGTGGATCTGAGAGTAGAAAAATTTTGCAGATTATAGATTTTGATAAATTCAGCTATATTATTGCTTTGCTTTATTAATATTATTAATATTTAAAAGAAAAATAGTATCGAACTTCTTTTGATTATTCAACTTTTTTTTTAACTGAGTTAAAACAAATATAATTCATAATTTTTAAATAGCGAAAATATATCTAGTTTCTTATGGAACTAGTGCAATTAGACAACCATAATATTAAACAAAAACCAATAAAATAACTTTTTTATTGAATGAACCAATTTGTTGTATGATAATACGATTCATTTCTAAATTTCATCAATACATTTCTTCAAATTCGCATTCCATTTTCATGTTTTTAGTTGGAAGGTAGGCTTAAACAGAAAACAATATTTAACTGTTATAAGCAGCATGCTTGTAGTTTTGTCTTTGTAGTGTAAATCACGCTAACACAACGTAAAGATACATATAATCTAAAATAAACACGAGCATGCGCAGTTGCACGAATCTTACGTACGGAAGCTAGCGTAAAGTGCGAAATCTCCCTACTGTCGAAATTTTTAACTTGGTAAATAATATAAAATTGCAGGTAGTTCGTTTTTGAAACATCGGAAAACTAAATTTTAATCTGTTTTAGGCTAAAATAATTACCTTATCAGTCTAGTTTTAAATACATCACTTGCCTAATCAATAATCTCCGCTCTTTGATTTTTTTTTTTTTAAATAGTGTTTCACATATAGTTTTTATTTTAATTTTAATATAGCTTAAGTCGACTCCAAACTGTATAGATTCAAAACAAGATTATCTAATTGCAAACACCACTAAATAACAATATTTTTAGACATAAATAAATAATTTATTTAGGTTATTAACATTTCTTTTTAGCGATTTGGAAAATGGAATATTCATTTTTCACTTGAAATTCATTCAAAAAAATTCAAAGAAAAAGTCAAGAAAAATTCTTTTATTTTCCTTCCCATTTTTAAAAGCATCGGAAATTAAATTTTTTTTTGAAAATAGCAATATGATCAATAAATCAATTTCAAATGAATCTTAAAAACCTCATTTGCCAAATCAACGAACTTCATCAATGAACCATCATCAATTAATTCCACTCTCTGATTTATTTCTTTTTTAATTTCAAAGTACTTAATTGATTCTAAACTGTATTCAAGTTTCTCTATTAATTAGCATTAACAATAATTTTTAAGACTAAAAAAATAAATTATTTAAGTATTT